CCCCTCCCCCGTGACATCTCTGCCCCTTTTTCACACCCCCACGCCTGTGACACCCCTGCCTCCTCCCTTTGTCTCTGCCTCCTCCTACATTCTCCTCACCGCCGCCCCTCCCAAAGCCCTGATGACTCTTAAAACACCCCCCCACACACCCTGCACCCTCTTACCTCTATCCCCCACGTCTGCCCACTTGGGCGGCCCCTGTCCCCCACCTCTTTCCTCCCTGCTTACCTGCTGTCTTGCCCTCTTCCCACATGCCACCCTTCCTCCACAGGTGTGAACCGACACTTCCACATGATTTGTATCCGGGACAAATTCAGCCAGAACATTGGGCGGCAGGTTCCCTCCAAGGTCATCTGGGACCATCTGAGCACTATGTACGACATGCAGGCACTGGTGAGCTGGCTGCCCTCCCCAGTATTGGGGGGCAGTGGGGAGACAAGAAACCCATGCCTTGTTCTCCAAAAGTCAGACTGAGCTGGCAGGAGAGCATCCTCTCACGCCTCCTGGGGGCCTGCTGGGCAGAGCAGCAGGCAGTGCCACCTCGAGGCCCCGTCCCCAAGAACTGACATCCTGAGGGGGACAGCCATTAAACAAGAGGGCCCCAAAGAGTGTTACGAAAAACACAAACCTAGTGATGATCGTTGGTTAACTTTTCGGGGAATCTACTTTAGATGGGGTGGTCAGCAGAAGTCTACAGGGAGGTAACTGGAGAGCTAAGACCCTGGGGAGGGGAGGGTGCAGGGTCCCAGGCTCTTAGGTTGTTGTCTGTCTTCTGGAGGCCCTAGAGGTGCATTAGGTGGAGCATGACTTCATCTGCATCGAGTTAAGATGAGCATGGCAGCTTCTGTGGGCACTAGGCAGGCGGGGCCCAGTCCTCACAGAGCTCAGGGCTGGCAGTGTCTGGTGGGCAAGCAGGTTAACAAGGTAGCCAGGGTAGCCCGAGGAGCTGGCAGTGTCTGGCAGGCAAGCCGGTTAACTAGGTAACCAGGGCATCTGGAAGAGACAAGTGGGTGTTCCCAGCAGAGGAACAGCAGGTGTCAGAGCCCTGTAGTAGGAGGAGTTGCTGGGTTCAGAAGCTCAACAGCACGTGAACCTGGACGGTGGAGTGAGAGTCAGGTGACCAGAAGGGGTGGGGGCCTGTGCTGGTAGAGGGAAAGTCTGCCTCTTTCCCAGCTGGACACAGGGCTCAGCGGTCCTCCCCAGGAGCACTGGTGCATGCCGTCGGGGCAGATTTGCAGAATGCTCACCGTGACATTGAGGACATTCTGCGTGAAGTGCAAAGTTTGCACCAGGTGATCAGGGCCTAGTAACCCAAAATGCAGCTGACTGCTGAACTCAGGATGTCCCCTGGAGCAGTCTCGCCCTGCCAGTGCCTTGAGTGCGTCAGTCGCCACCCTCAGGGTCAGCAGCTTGCCGCATCATGTTGTGGTGTCACCTGTGGGGAGAGGGCACCAGAATGGAGAGAGTGTTGGTGCGGCAGAGTACTTGTCCTAAGTGAAGACAGCTAGCTCTGAGGCCTGAGATGTGCTTATGGGGCCGCGAGGAACCCCGAGGAGCACACAGGATGCTCAGGGTCTTTAGCCCCACGTGGTGGCTTTTCTTCCTATTCCTGCAGTGGCCTATAACATCAGTAAGGACTGGGCAACACTACAGCACCTCTGTGTGGCTGGTGTCCGAGTCACTTGGGCCACCCCCAGAGGTTGGCCAGCGGCCCAGGAGGTTTTGATGAGCACACTCATGGGCTGACCGCCTGGCTTCACACAGCACCACATTACCTAGAGGGAGCCCCTGTCTCCTGAGTCACCTCCCTGCCCAGGGGCTCTCCCCATCAGCTCACTTGCCCTTCACCTGGAGGTCTTGCATTCCCAGGTCTCTGTCCCTTCTGGTCTGCATAACATGCAGGACAGGCAGACCCAGGAGGCACTCGGTGACCTGGTTGCATCTGCCTGCACCTGCCTGCCTTCCTCACTCGGTTGTGTGTGTGTGGCTTTCCTGGCCCACATCGTCAGTGTCTGTGGGCTCCTGCCATGTGGGTGGGAACTGGAGGCACCTGTGGCCTTTCCTTGGGGCTGTCGCTTTGCCTCGGTGAAAGCACACTCACAGTGAGAAAGCCAGCAGTGGGGAACTGGGCAGGGCCTCTCGGTTGTGCATGCCTGCAGGGTAGGCCCCTGTCCTCAGGCCTTCCCAGCAGTGCCAGCCTGTCATTCCTCTCTCTCGTGGCTCCTTGCAGCTGGCTTGCACTGGTCTTGCCCTCCCCAGGTCTGTCTTGAAAGCCCAGCATGTGGTGGGCTCTGCAGTGGGCTTCACCCCGTGCCCCACCCACCTGTAGCCTCAACAGTCACGTATGCTAGTGGGCTGCTCCTTTAGTGACTTACTGAAATCACATTTTCTTTTTTGTTTCTTAAAAAACAAAATGCTGTATTTGACATCAGCATGAGTCTGAGATTCTTCCATTCCCAAATCCAGAGAGGAACTTCGTTCTTCCAGAAGAGATCATTCAAGAGGTTCGGGAAGGTGAGACTTGGGCACCAGGGAGGACTTGGGCCAAAGGTGGGATGTCAGGGTGAAGGTCATGGGCACAGACCCTGCCCCCCCCGCGCTTGGGAGGTCTCGGAGGCCCGCAGGACTGGAGAGGATTTTGTTCAAGAGCAGTCACTGGTGGATGCTGAGGTCTGTGTAGGCGGTCCCAGCGTCACCACCATCGTGGGTTCCCAGTGAATGTGAGCTGTCTCCTCCACAGGAAAAGTGATTATTGAAGAGGAAATGAAAGAGGAGATGAAGGAAGACGTGGACCCCCACAATGGGGCTGACGATGGTATGTGTAGGGCTTGTCCTGCTGCCCCTGGCGCCTGCAGGGCACGGTGTCCTGTCTCCCCAGCCACGCAGGGCACCGCCAGGTGCACATAAAGTCAAGAGTATGGAGGGTCCAGTTGAAGTTGGGCATGGTGCAGTTCTGAGTGCAGGATAGATCCTGGCAGTGTTCCCTGTATAGCAAAAGAAAAGGCAGAGCCAAGTGACAGTTCTGTGTTGTGGGGGTGGGGGTCTGAGCCCATGGGGTCTGGCTGCTCCCCGGCTTGAACTTGAGCGTGTGATGCCCTGAGGCTCTCCCAGCAGGGAAGTCCACAGGAGGCCAGGCCCTTTTCAGCTGTAGTAGGGCTTGCAGCCCTCAGGGAAGCCGTTTGGGTCAGAGGGCTACGTGTATAGATAGATTTTTTTTTTGATTGAACAGAAAGGTGAAATCAGATTCTGGATATTCTGCTTTCAGCCAGATGATTCTGTTTCTCAGTTTTTTCATCTTCAGGGAGCTTGGGGAAAGCAACAGAGAAATCCAGCAAAGAGAAGGAGAAGAGCTCCTCAGACCTGGGGTGCAGAGAGGGAGGTGACAAGCGCAAGCGCAGCCGGGCCACGGACAAGGTCCTGACCGCCAACAGCAACCCCTCCAGCCCCAGCGCTGCCAAGCGGCGCCGAACGTAGACGCCTCAGCCCAGGCAGGAGCAGGGAAAAGGCCATGTTCACTGAGGGGTGGTCCCAGCACCAGCCCACAGCCCACAGCCATGTCATCCCGGTGCTGTGAGCCATGCTGCCTGCTGCTCCTAGGCTTCCAGGCAGATGTGGATGGCCACCTTGTGTCCAGGGAGACTATCTGGAGCACTGATGGACATGAAAGACCAGGATGGACCCCACTCTGATGTTGAGGGCTCTGAGTCGAAGTTCTGTGTTCTCTTGAGCACAGGCTTCTTGTGACACTGGAGGAGCTCCTGTGCTGAAGCGCTCGGCTACACGCTGCGTGGAGGAAAGGGGGGGGCATGGGGCCAGCAAGCAATAAGAACTCTGTCCCCACACTCTATCCTCAGAAGGAGCCACCAGTCTCCCTACGTGGCTCAGTTCTGTCCACTCGCTGGTCCCCATGAGCCTCTATACTGACTGGGACATCAGGAGAGCGTGGCCTGCTGTCACCCACCTGCCATGCGCCGGGAGCCTCCCTCCCCACCTGGGAAGCTAAGAACTGGATATTTCACCTCATTCACTTGTACTGTAACAATGTATATAATATGGTTGGTATTTCACTATTTAATTTTTAAGAAGCCTATTTTACTAGTGTTTTATATGTAAAGAATACTGCAGAAGCTGAACCTGTGTTGTATTTTTTCTGAGATGTTTTGTTTTAAGGTAATGACTGCTGAGATACTTTTTGCTCAGTTTTTATATGCCAGATACAGAATTTGTAGCGGTTATTTTTGTATTATCTAGTAACTTGCAAACAGACCAGGTGAGTAAGCGGAGGGAATGCACAGCCCCACGTCAGCTGAAGTGCACTCTCATTTGACTGCAGAACATTAAAGCACAAGAAGTCAACCTGGAGTTTTGTGATTTGGTTAACAAAATAGGTGAACTTGCCTCTAATAGGAAGTTTCATTTTTCCAAGATTCATAACTAAAGTGTACACTTAGATGATTTATTAACATTCACTTGATGCAGTGTATAAACATAGTAACATTCTGAGTGTTATTTTGTTGAAAGTGACAAGCACTTCAAACACAAAATGTTAGCAGAGCAACACGATGTACGTGTAGATGCTCCAAGGCCATGGAGCTGCGTGCCATCCAGCTTCTTCCTGCCGAGATGCTTCAGACAGGTGGAATCTTCACAAAGTGAAGTCCAGCCACTCCCATCACCACAAGAGGATGCACTGTGTCCTGGCCATTCAGCACGCCCCTTCTGTCCATCCTGACTCCCTGCAAAGGGACTGAATTTCTTTCCACACGGTGGAGCCTCCCAGCATCTGGGGGGGTGGCACTTGGGAATGCCCATCTTGAGGCACCAACTGAAGAGGCAAAGCCAGGAACCTGGTGTGGTGAGAGCACCCAGGGTGGGGTCCAGGCTGCTCTGCACCAAACCCACTGTCACTTCCAGGATGGGACAGTCCAGTGGCCCTGAACAGACCATTGGCACTGGCTTCCCTGGCACAGGAATAGCGTCTTGGTTGGTGCATCTGTGCTCACCCAGCAAGCAGCTGGTCTCCAGCCTGCCCGCGCCACACTCCACAGTTTGACCAGCTGCTTGGAGGGGCCCTATGGGTCCCCTTTCTGTAGAGCCTAGACAAACCCACACCTTCATCAGGAACATCCTGCTGCCGGCACTGCTCCATTCTGAGATGGAGTCCCATGAAGCCTGCTGCTGTCCCAGCACAGGAAAAGCCACACTCTCCCCAAACACTCAGACCTGCAGCAAGTTCTAGGAACTGACTTGGGGGGGATGCTCCCTTCCCCTTGGCTGAGAAAGGGTGGGTCTCTTCTCACCCTATGCCTTCTCTCCTATGCAGTCAGCCCTCAATGCCTGCTCTGTGCCAGCTGCCACTGCTGGCGTCGTGATCCCTGAGAAACCTGGCCCTTAGGGAGTCCCGAGATAGCCACAGGTTGGGGGCAGATAGCACTGCAGGGTGGTGTGAAACAGCATCTTCAGTGACCTCAGAACCTGCTGGAAAAGGCTAGTCAGTAGTTCAAATCTGCCTCGTTTCAGTTACCTTAATATTTTGCTGCACTTCAGGAGGGCAAGCCCATCAGGCAGATGAGCAAGTGTCACCCCCACTCCCCGAGCGTCCTGTTTCCCAGCCCTCATGACTCATGTGAACTTCTTGGCTTCCCTGTGGGCAAGTCCCACCCACACTCCATGCTGGCATGTGAGGATGCTCAGGTGACTTCAGAAGCCCTGGGCACTGTGACCTTGAATCCTGGCAAGACACAATACTCACCCTCTCCTGTTCTAGGGGTCTCATCTGTATCTTAGAGGTTTTATGTAATGTCTACCCCACCAGGTAATGTAGAATGTGCCAACTGAGACTATCTGAAAAAGAAAACAGAGCCAGGAATGGGGCAGAAATGCTCCGCGTGAAGGCTTGGTGCCTGCTGACCACAGGACGGAGGGAAGTGCCACTTATGCAGTTCATGCTCGTGGGTTCTGCTTGCTGGAAAGCCACCGCTGGTGCTGAGACTGCAATGCTGAGCACAAGCTCTTTGTGCCGGTGGCCGCTGTCCTTTAAAAAAGTGAGATAGTGTGTACACAGTGCCAGGTAAGATTGTACCTGTTGAGTCAATGAAGGTGGACAGGTCAGCAAGGATGAGGGACCAGCACCCAGAAAGTCCTTAAGCTGTGCTCAGCACCAAGACTGGAAGGCTCTGCAGATTATGGCTGTCACCAGCCACACAGTACAAGGGAGTGTCACTGGTCCCTGGGCACAGGCAGACTGTTAGCTGGCTTGCAGGGCTGGGAAAAGTCAGCGTCTCCAGTGAAGTCAGCCCAGTGCGGGCTGGCTGGTGGCCTCTAAATTTCGCCATCATCATCCCAGAGGCAGCTCTGCCTATGGCTAGCGATGTAGCCCAAATCTAAAATCCAGTCTCAGGTTTTACACGAATTTTTTGAAACAAAATGGGAAGATCTTACCTGGGACAACCACTCCCAATTTTCTTTTTCTTTTATTTATTTATTGTCTTTTCTTTCTTTCTTTTTTGCTGGCTGCTTAGAGTTTATTTTCCACGCGGTGCAAGGCAGTCCGGGTGTGTGGAAAGCTGGGTGGCCTGGAGCACAGACGGGGGCTCTCTCCCCTTCCTTTTTGACATTTGCTGTTTTGATACAAAGAATCCAGTGCTTCGCTTGCTGTGCCTGCCTACGGGGCAGTCTATGGGGTGGGGCTGGGGGGTCGGGCAGGGAGGGGCTCTGCTGGCCGAGCGTTCCGCAAGCCTGGCACTGGTCAGGACGGGGGCCCCCGCGCTGGCTGTGCTGGGCTGGTCCCCACGCTGCGTCCTTGTGGCTTGTGAGCCAGGCCACAGGTGATCATGCTGTTGGAAGCCTGGGGGGACTCCGAGTGCTCTGGGGACTCCAGCACTCTTCCCGAAAAAGAAGCTCGCCCACCAGTGACCGAGGTCGGCCTTGGGGAGACCTGAGAGGGGCAAAGTGGGTCACGTGGCTGCGCTCCCGGTGGGACCCCGCGGTTCTCTGGACGCCATGACCAGATACGTGAGCCCAATTTGCATTTCGAGGAGTGAGCCCCTGGCTTTGCTGGAATTTGGTATCCACACAGCAGGTGTCAAAGACAGATGGACCTTCAGTCGCTGGAAAACTGGAGCTGAATGAGATTTTCAGTTGTCCTGAACCTTCCAATGTGTGTAAAGAGGGTAGCCGCCGCCAGCCACCTCTCAGCCCCCAAAGAGGCCCCTAATGAGGCATTTGACTAGTGTCAGCTGGTGTTGAACAGCCCCTAGTGCGACCCACGATAAATTCCGCCTCCTGGTGTCCAAGGCTTTGTGTGGTCCTTCTTTAAGTGCGGAGCCGGAGACTTTCTTATGACTGACAGAATGTGGCAGAGGTGATGGTGTCACCCCCCCGATCACGTTACGTTATATAAGACTCTTAGCACACTGCAGAAAGAGGCTCCCTGGTGGCTTTGAAAAAGGAAACTGCCGCGTTGTGCACTGCCCACGGAGGGCCAGTGGCAGGGGTCTGCCAGCAGCCTCTGGTAGCTGAGAGAGGTCCCAGCCTGCCGCCCGCAGGAAGACAGGGACTTACCCCGGAGTCTGGGGAGCGCAGCCCCTGCCCATAGCAGCTTATCCTCCAAAGGCCATCCTGGGGCAGAGGGGCGTCCTCCGAGGGGGATCCTTCCGGAGGGCACCCTCCCTGAGGTCATCTTCCAGGGTGGGCATCACGGGGCAGGACTCTCCACGCGGCATCCTCCGGGTGCATTCTTCTGGTGGGCAAGCATCCTCCGTGGGGGCGTAGCGGGGGCGGGCATCCTCGGGATGGACGCGGTGTCAGCCAGCGGTGCACGCGGACGCGGGCGGGCGGGGCCGCAGGGGCGGAGCCTGGTCCGTCCCCGCCCTTCCAAGGCCCCGCCCCCGCACTAGCCGCGCCCCCGCGCTTCCTCCCATTTCACTTTCGCTTCCGTAATAACTTCGTATAGCATACATTATACGAAGTTATACGAGATGATCTGTCATTTGCTGATAGTGGGGTGTTGAAGTCACCAACTAGTATTGTGTTGGAGTCCATCTCTCCCATTAGATCTAATAGTAATTGCTTTATATAACTGGGTGCTCTGGAGTTGTGTACATATATATTTAGAATTGTTATATTCTTTTGTTGAATTGATCCCTTTAATATTGCCTATCTTTTATACAGTTGTTGTGTATGTTAGTGTCTTGTTAGTTTTGTTCTTTAGTCTCCATATTAAGAATCTAAGCAATTTATTCACCACCCTTACAACATTGGAGTACTCTGAGGTTGTCTGTGAATTTACTTTACTAATAAGTTACGTACCTTCAAATGTTTTCTTAGTGCTCCTTAGTGTCATCTTTTTTCAGATTGAAGAAATTCTTTAGCATTTCTTGTAAGGCAGTGCTAGTGTTGATAAATTCCCTTAGCTTTCATTTGTCTGGGAAAGACTTTATTTCTACTTCATATTTGAAGGTTAGTTTTGTTAAATACAGAATTCTTGGCTGACAGTCTTTTTCCTTCAGTACTTTGAATATATCATCTCATTCTTTTCTGGCATGTAGGATTTCTACTGAGAAATCCACTGAGAGACATTTTGGGGCTCTGTTGAATGTTATGTGTTTCTTTTCTCCTGCTGCTTTCAGTATTCTCTCTTTGACTTTGGTTTTTAATAATTTGATTATCAAGGCCTCGAGGGGAAATTCAGGGCGGGCCGGGGGTCCGTGCGTGGGTAACGTCAGATCGAGTCCCCAGGATGGTGTCCGTGCGTGGGTGACATCAGATCTGAGTCCCCTGCAAGGTGTCTGTGCGTGGGTGACGTCAGAGCCGCGTCCCAGGACCAGGTCCGTGCGTGAGTGACGTCAGATAGGGTCCCCAGGACGGTGTCCCTGCGTGGGTGACGTCAGATCTGAGTCCCCTGCAAGGTGCCTGTGCGTGGGTGACTTCGGAGCCCTATCCGGGAATGGGGTCCGTGCATGAGTGATGTCGGAACCGGTCCCGGGACGGGGGTCCGTGCGTGGGTCACATCAGAGCCGCGTCCCAGGACCAGGTCCATGCGCTGGTGACGTCAGATCTGAGTCCCCAGTAAGGTGTCCGTGCTTGGGTGACGTCAGAGCTGCATCCCGGAATGAGGTCCGTGCGTGACGTTAAGGCCGCGTCCCTAGTGCCGTGTCGGAGCGTGGGTGACGTTTCCTCAAGGCGTGCGAGGGGCACATCCCGATCTCCCTCTCTGTCACACCCATCGCCGGTCCTGACCTGTCCACTGCATAGGTCCCAGCCCTCCCGCCTGTGGTCACCGCGCTAGGGCCAGCCTCTGGGCGTCTGCTCAGGCCCGCAAGTCCCCCCAGTCTGCCCCACCCTCACTGGGGGTCGCACCCACACGCTGTGGCTGGGGCTGAGCTCACGGATTTACTGGACTGAGTCCCAGCGGACCCGCGACGGGTTGCTCTTGTTACCAGCGCTCTCAGGCAGGGGTTACTTTGTTGCCAGCGGTTACTTTCGCGCACCTCGGAACTTCTTTCTGTACAACCTGGCTGCCCGGGTGCTGCCGGAGCCCGGGTGCTGGGGGTGCGGCTGTGGTATGGAGGGCCAGGAAAGTGTCTGGAATTCCAGACTGGTCTCTGGGATGGATTCTGTCTCCATGGCAGAGAGTGCTGGTTTCTCTCTCCGTATGGTGGAGGGTCAGTGACAGTGACCCCAAGGACCTACAGTGGTTTCTGGGCCTGCCTGGAAGGCCAGGACTACCTCCCTGCCCCTCAGCACACCTGCAGTGCTGCGGCTGGCCCAGGGTCATGGTCACAGGGCAGGACCCAGCTTTTCCCCCCAGGATGGTGTGTGGGCTCTGATGTGAGATGACACTATCTCCACTGTGTCTCCTGAAGCATTGACCCTCCTGGGAGGCGCACGTGACCCCTGACCTCTCCCTTTTGCCTCCTGCTTTGGCTTCTGTCCTTCCATAAGGCCCAAGCCCCTCTCCTTCCCCTGCGGACCTCCTCGGCCCTCCCCAGCTGCCCTGCACTGGACCCTAGAGAGGCTGTCTCACTCTGGGCGGTGTGTGCACTGTGGGCTGAGCCGGCAGGGCCAGCGTCTGGTCAGGACTGTGGTCTTGAACCGACCCAGGGAGGCTCCGCTGGGCCCAGGGCAGAGGGGAAATGGAAACTAACGGAGGGGCAGGGCCAGCTTCTGCTCAGTTTCATTTCTGCTGGCCCATGGCTGAGCCAGGCGAGGCTTGCCTGCTCACTCTGCTTTAGAAATCAGATAGAGGCAACTCCAGACCCCAGATGGAGCTCCAAATGAGTTAGGATCCTGGAAAAGGAGGAGTCAGAGCCATGGGATGCAGGGAAGGGCCTGGCCTCCTGACTCCATTTCCAGTGCTACTCAGGGTCCTGGGACCCAGTTATTTCTCCAGGATGAGCTATACCCTGATGTCATGCCTGGTCCCTCCTCCATCCACAATCAGATCCCTGAGCCGGGCCCAGCCCCGCCTCATGCCCCCCACCCTCATGACACGGAGTTTAGGGCTGTGTTTACCCAGCACCTTGGTCACTGCTTACCTCTGATCCTTCCCTGGACCCTGGGGTGCTTGGCCTGCAGAGACTGGGGCATCAAGGAGCCCTTGACGTCTTGCTGACAAGCCACCCCCAAATGGGGCTGGAGGCCAGGAGACTCGGGGTCTGACCTCTCTTTGCATCTGGCCAGCAAGGGGCAGGGGTTAGGCAGGGAAGGGGTTGGTTCCCTGACTGGCCCTCAGTCATTCATTCATTTATCAGACCCTGCCAGGGAAGTCTGGGTCCCCTCCCTGGGGATACAGCCTGGTGACAAGTTAGAGCTAAGTGCAAGGGAGAAGTACTGTGTGAGGACAGGGGTCCCTGGAGGCACGTAACAGGGCTGAGGCCAGAGTGGGGGTCACCAGGCTGGGAGGAAGAGGTAGAGGTGGGGCTTGGGGAGAGGAGGAACTCAGGGGCCACACCTCATGGGAGTGTGCATGTCTGCCTGGAGTGGCCTCTACCCAGGGCTCCCCAAGGTGGAAGTGGGAGACGCGAGAGGGGCGGGAATAGGGGAGGCCTGGACTCCAGCTGCTCTGGCCTCCTCCAGTTCTGTGCCGGGGGTTGAGGTGTTTTACTAGGGTCTAAGTCTGTTTGCCAGGACCCCCCCACACACAGAGAAGGAGGGGTGGGGGGGTTGGAAGGAAGAACTCTGAAAAGCACCCACCCCTTCTGAAGACAGCTCAGTGGCAGCTGGCCCAGGTCCTGCTGCCCTTCCCAAGGTGGGGGCTCGCTGGGGGCTGATCTCCCTGGGGGGGCCTCATTGAGTCTCTTCTCTTCCCAGTCCAGGATGACAGGGTCCCGCAACTGGCGAGCCATGCAAGATATGTGCAGGTACCGGCACCACTACCCGGTAGGTACCCACCCTAGCAGCAGCTTACAGCACCCCTGCGCCTCAGCAGCCCACCCAGAGACACAGAACCCTCCTGTTGGCCCTCACACAGAATGTCCTGTGTCCTGCTGGGGCACTGGGGCATGCACAGGCCTGAAGTGGGTTTGGATCCCTGCACAAGGATTCCCCCACCTGGTGCTAGCAGCTGTCCCACAGCACCACCCCCTCACAGTGGCCTCCGTGGGGGTGGTTATGTCAGTCCCTGTCCTCTGCACTCGTGAATCTCAGGTAACCCTGGAACCACCTTAGGGTGCAGAGGAAGGGGGACCTCCCAGCTCTGGCTCACAATGGTGAGTTAGTGACGGTGGTTGCTGGTGGTCAGAGTCAGCTGCTATCCTCCCCGTGGTCCTCACCTGCAGAGTTAGTGGCCCCTCTGGGCTCTTGGGGCCTTGGGCCAGCCTCAGAGGGTCTGCAGGTTTGCGCTTACCTGAAGTACCCTCAGAGGCAGCCTGTTTCTCATGGCTCTGGCTGTCCCCTCGCTCTGGCCCTGCAGGATCTGGTAGAAGGAGACTGCAATGGTGATATGCCGAACCTGAGTTTCTACAAAAATGAGATCCGCTTCCTGCCAAACGGTACACACCCACGCCACTGCCAACAGCTCCGTCCTTGCCTGATGGGCTGTCCCCCTGCCTAGCCAGTCCACTGGGACCCACGTTCAGGATGTACCCCACGTTTGGGCCATGGCTTTCTAATAGCCCCACAGTGCCCCCTGGAGGTGGCCAAGGGGACTTCAGGGCCCCCACCCCTGAGTCTCAGCAGCAATGTTTAAGTCAGGGGTCAGCAAACTTCATGCAAAGGGCCAGAGGGTAAGTGTTTGAGGCTTTTTAGGCCATACGGTCACCATCAAGACTCCTGTACCCTGCTTCCTTGTGAACAAGATGTGTGAACTAAAGAGCTAAGAATTATTTTTACATTTTCAAGTAGTTGTAAAAAAAAGTAGAATGGCATTTTGTGACATGTGGAAATTAAGATTTCAGTGTCAATAAATAAAGTTTTATTGGCACCTACCCACACCCACTCATTTATGTGGCTGCTTTCACACTATGTCGTGAAACGGATGGCCACAGAGACCATGTGGCCGCTCAGCCTGAGATGATCACCACCTGGCCCTGTGCAGAAGCATCACTGACCCGCTCTAAACCCTGTTTTGGGTTGGGTTTGGCTGGGGGTTTTCTTTGAGGGAAGAGCTCTGTGGCTAACATGCTGTGCTTTGTGGGAGGCACAGAGGCCAGGGGCCAGGGTCCCCAAAGTTGGTAGGTTACATATTGGGTGAGGTGTGGACAACTCAGCTGGGTCCGGGACCCCAAAGGTCCTCAAGAAACCCAGGGTAGGCGTGGGGGCTTTTAGCAGTCCTTTGTCCCCCCAAGTGCTTTTGGGGAGGTTTTCACAGCTGACCTATCCCTGTGTGGCCCCCAGGCTGTTTCATTGAGGACATTCTTCAGAACTGGAAGGACGACTACGACCTGCTCGAGGACAATCACTCTTACATCCAGTGGTGCGTCAGAGGGAGTGAGGGAGTGAGGGAGGCGCGGGAGGGGCCGGGGGCCACCCAAGCAGGAGCCCCCCAGCCGTGCCACTGCTGCACGCTGCTTCCTGGTGTGTGCTGAGATGAGCACTCTGTCCACATTCTTTCCAAAGCCAACATCCACATGGCAGTGGCGTCTGTACACTCCTAGATGGGCATCACTGGGCACCAAGGGGCCGGTGGCCGTTGGGGGAAGACGTGGTCATATCCCACAGTCTCTGGGCTCTTTAGTCTGAGCAGCCTCTGCGGTGGGAGCCGGCTGCCCGGGAATCAGGAAGGACTGCACATGAACTGGCCTGCGGCAGGAGTGGGCAGGGGTGGCCCGCCCACGGGAGTGCAGCCTCGGCACCAAGAGACCTCTGTGTAGACCGTGGCCAACTCGGCCATGGCAGGGTTCTGGCATCGTGCTTGGGCAAGACTTGCCAGCACGGCTGCCTGGGAAGCCCATGACAGTTCCCTGAACGTCCGAAGTGCCTTACTCCGAGGCCGGCCCCACCCGTGCTGGGCCCTCATTCCCTCCCCCTCGCTTTCCTGACTCAGGACAGCCGCCCCTTCCTAGAGCTGCACATGTGAGCCCAGGGCGGGAGCCAGCTACACTCGCTAAGGGGCCTGCCCGTCTCTTCTCCCCACAGGCTGTTTCCTCTGCGGGAACCAGGCGTGAACTGGCATGCCAAGCCCCTCACGCTCAGGGAAGTTGAGGTGAGCTCCAGTTCCGGGTTGTGGCTAGGGGAACATGGGGAGTCCAGGGGAGCTGTCCCTTCCCGGAGAGGGGATCACAACTGACATGGCCACCCTGATGCTCCCCGTGAACAGTGGGCTCCGGTGATGGCCACATGAGCTCTCTGAGGGTGTGTTTTCCAGGAATTTAAAAGCTGCAGGGAGGCCAAGGAGCGGTTTGTCCGGGCCTATGAGCTCATGCTGGGGTTCTACGGGATCCAGCTTGAGGACCGAGACACGGGTACAGTGCACCGAGCTCAGAACTACCAGAAGCGCTTCCAGAACTTGAACTGGTAAGGCCCAGCCCCTCCCGCCCTGGTCCAGTTGTGTGTGGGCCAGCGCAGCCTACAGCCTGGTGTCAGGCGCAGGAGGGTGTGAGGGGAGCCCTGCTGGAAAGGAGGGACTCCAGGGGCACTTGGTCAGGTGACTAAGGCTCTGAGACCCTCTTTGCCTGCAGGTTGGGGGTGGGGGGTCCCTATTTGATAGGGGTTGGGAGAGTTTAAAGAAAGCTGTTCTCTTGCCTGTGAGGTGTCAGCCCCCATGGAGAAGCAGGGGCAGGGGCGAATCTGTGCCGATGGCACAGGCTGCTCACTCTGGCCCCTGTGCTGGGCTCTGTGCCCTAGAGGGCCCCCTCTTGCCCTCCTCCAGCCAGCTCCCTCCATGGGGAAGATGGGAAGTCCATGGACTGGGCAGACAGCCATCCTTCTGGGTGCTGCATCAGAATCCCCCAGATGTGTACAGGGCCCACAGGCCATGCTCTGGGGTACAGGATGGGTCCTCTCCTGGGCCAGGGTAGAGAGGCTCCTGGAGGTTCTAGGGGCTGCTGGGTGGGAGGGGACGCACCCAGCACCCCCGCTCAGCCTGGCCTCCTGCAGGCACAGCCACAACAACCTCCGGATCACACGAGTCCTCAAGTCCCTGGGAGAGCTGGGCTTTGAGCACTTCCAAGCACCACTGGCCCGCTTCTTCCTGGAGGAGACGCTGGTGTGGCGGGAGCTGCCAGGCGTGCGCCAGAGCGCGCTCGACTACTTCGTGTTCGCTGTGCGCTGCCGGCGCCAGCGCCGCGAGCTGCTGCGCTTTGCCTGGGAGCACTTCCAGCCTCGCTGCAAGTTTGTCTGGGGGCCCCACGACAAGCTGCAGAGGCTTAGGCCCAGCTCTCCGCCCCACCCGCCGGGGGGCCCCGTCCACAAGGCTGGCTCCCAGGGCCAGACCTGCAGGCCAGAGAGGAGTGAGGGTGGGGACAGTGAGGCCGAGAGTCCCCAGCCGCCGAGCACAGAGCCCCAGGATGTAGGAACCCTGGAGAGGGACCAGGGAGATGAGGCTAGGGCCCACGGGGAGGATGGGCCAGAGCCCCTGAGCCCCAAAGAGAGCAAGAAGAGGAAGTTGGAGGTGAACCGGCAGGAGCAGGCCTCCGGAGAGCCTGGCCCCCAGAACTCCTCAGAGGTGGAGAAGATCGCCCTGAACCTGGAGGGGTGCGCGCTCAACCAGGGCAGCCTTGGGGAGGGGACCCAGGAAGTGAGCAGTCAGGATCCGGAGGAGGCCGAGCAGCCCTGCCCCCAGACCCCGGGGGCCAGGGTGGTTGATGAGGTGAGGAAGCGGAGGAAAGTGGATGAGGGTGCTGGGGACAGTGCTGTGGTGGTGGCCAGAGGTGGTGCCCAAATACAGGCCCCTGCCTGGCCGCCTGCTCCACTGGAGTGCTCCAAGGCTGAGGAGGGTGAGAACAGGGTCCAGGAGGACACAGAAGGCCAGGTAAAGATGGAGCAGGGTGCCCCCAGGAGCCCATCAGAGGGCCCAGGCCCCAACATCAAAGGACCCATGAGGGACGGGAGGGCTGAGGCGGGGGACAAGGGAGCAGAGGCGGTGGACGACGGGAGGGCTGCAGTGGGGGATGGGAGGGTTGAGGCGGGAGACAAGGGAACTGAGGCGGTGGACGATGGGAGGGCCGAGGCGGGGGATGGGAGGGCTGAGGCAGGGGCAGGACCTCCCTGCAAGCCCGGGCAGCCTTAAGGAGGGGAGCCACACACTCCTCGGCTCTGCCCCACCCTGCTGCATGAAGAGCCGTCTGGGAGCCACACTGGCAGCTCTCTCAGTGCCCAGCAGTGCCAGCCTCTCCCTGGTGGTCACTGCAGCGGCCGCCAGCAGGACCAAGGCCCCACCCTCAGGGAAGGCCCTGGCCTTCAGAACCTCAACCTCATCTTCCCCAGCCAGCTCTCCTCTCTGTCCCCTGATCTTTGTAAATTGACCCTAAAGGTTGGGGGCGGGGGGGGCGGGGCTCATTTTCTTAGTCTGGTGCCAAGCGAGGCCTTTTCTGAATAAATCCATTTGGCTTTGAGTCTTCCTGGTGTGCACCAAGGTCCTGTCCAGGGCATGGGGCCGGTTTTGTAACAGACACTCCTTTCTGGACTGTCTTCCTTGAGTTTGAAGTGGCCTCCTGGTTGCCACATCACCTTGCCCAGGCGCATGGACTCCGGGGAGCTCTGAAGGCTGGACAGTTGGTACCTCGGCTGCCTTTTGTCTCCTGTTCAAGAGCCAGTCCAGGGACTCATGTGCAGGCCCTTGGGTGGGCTGGGGTCAAGCTCAGCAGTGCCTCTGCACTGCTCCACCCCCACTGACTTTCCACAGCAAGACGCAGCCTCGCAGGATCCCCTCGGCTCCATCTGACCTGGCCTGGCTCAGTGCATCTCCCACGGCAGCCCCCTCCCACTGCCTGGCTATGTCCCCCTGGCACCACTGGGTGGAGAGCTTTTGTGGGGCCTCTGAGGGGAGGGTCCCCAACTCATGGCTCCCCTAAGGGCCACACACTTGCTGTTGAAGCGGAGGTCAGACATGGGCCTATGGGCTCTCCTGAGGCAGGGAGCACAATTCGTTCTGGGAGTGAAAGCTGTGGCTCGGTGGTTAGCACCAGTCTGTGCAGCAGAGATGGTGGGCAACTCAGATGTTATGGTGGAGGGAGATGATGGGCAGCCCAGAAGTCACGTGGGAGGGAGGGACCATGGTAAGTTCCCCTAGAGCTGGGGTGGGGGAGAGAAGTCTAACATAGCTGGCTCACCCCAACCCCATCCTTGGCTTGCTGGAGGCTGTAGGACCCTGGTGCTGAGGCACTGAGATTGATGTAGGGCATCAGGCAGTCCAGCAGGGTCCCGCTGACCCTTGTGCTCAGGGTCCTTGGTCCTGGTCCAGGCCATTATGGGGCTTGGGATAGATAGAGAATTGATGCCTGAAGTGAGGAGGAGACCCCTTTGGAGTAACTCTGGGGGAGGGGGTCTGTGCCTGGTGGTAGGCACCTGGGAAAGGTGGGCAGTTCTGACCCACCCAACACCCAAGCTTCATGGAGAGCAATGTCTCAAAATGGGAACTGTGCTCTGGTTCTGCCCAGGAGGGCAGAGGGAAGGCTGGACCCTGATGGTGAGGCCAGCGCCCTCCCTTCCCCGCAGGCCAGCCCCAGGCCTAGGTGTCTGCCCAGGGTTTGCATGGGGGCAGCAGAAGGCTTAGCATGGTCCCAGACACCAGGTCCCTCCCCTGACCCAAGGTGGAGGCCAGTTGTGTCCAGTTTGGCAGGAGCCCTGGCGGGCCACGTGCTGGGCATTTGGAGTGCAGAGCTGGGACGTGGGATAGGCAGGAGCCTGGGACCAGATGAGGGACTGAGGAGGGGGCTGGCCACACCCTCACCTCTCCAGGGTGAACTGAGGAACAAGCTGGTTCCCCAGGCTCAGAGCCCCTCTGTCTCTGACGACTTGTCCTAGGATGACTCGAACTCTGCTGGGGAGCAGGAGTTTCCTTGACATCATGCACTCCTCCCTCCTGCTGGAGGGCCAGAGAGCAGCCCTGGTCCTCTTCCCAGTGCTGAGGAAACTCTCCTTCCAGGTGCGACCCCTTGGGAGGTCCAGAGCAGCACAGCCTGAACTCCCACTCACTGTCCCCATCCGCTCCCTGCTTAGCTCCACCGCCTCCTCGTCAGTCACTCCCACCTGCAACATCCTATGGACTCTAAGACAGCACTTCTCAGGGAGTTCCAGAGATTCCCTGGGGGTGGGCTGTGATCCCGCACATCCAGTGAGCCTGAGAGCCCCCTCACCTGCCGTCCTCCACCCTCCTGGGGTGAAATGGAGCTTGTGAGAAATGGGAATGGCCACACCAGCCTCCCAGTTCCCGTTCAAGACAAATTTCCTTCAGGCTCAGCTTCGCGGTGGCGCTCCCACCCCTCTGCCAGGGTCACCATTTTGCTCTCTCGGGGGATCGGGGTCCCGGATAAGAGTCTGGCCTTCGCCAGTGGGGCTGACATGGACAGGTCACTCACTGTAGTCCAGGTTTATGGGTAAGGGGCCCTGGGGTGGGGGTGCTCCCAGCCTAGCAGGCGGCCCTAGACGTTGGCCCGTGGCAGGACCCAGCGGCAGGAACCAGGGCTGTGCTGGGCACTGTCTGGCCCCTGGTACAGCGGGATTCGCCCTCTCCGGGGGTCTTCCTGGGCCTTGGGCAGCCTGGGTCCCGCTCGGAACCCCGGGACAGGGTACGTGGCCTCTGGCACTGGGCCTACTCCTTCTGCCCCTTCTTGAAAGGAGCCTTTCAGGGCCCGGTTCTCCCCCGCTGCGCACCCGGCCGCGGAGCAAGGGGGTAAAAGAGCGTCTTTCTTTTCTGCTCGAGGGTGTGGAGCGACTCTCCAGTTCCAGGGTAATTTCAACGAGGAGGGTGGCCAAGACACGCCTCTGGTCTTCCCCCCCGCAGAAGCGCCCGCCCGCCCAGGTGGGCCC